ACCTAAACCCACACGCTTTGAGGAAATATTGAGGCAACCTCTATTTGGTAACAGATGGATTACAGATGTTAATAGCTGTGTATATAATAGCTCTACTCCTCTCTGGTCCCAATGGGTAAAGAAAGGTGTCATACGGGTTAAAGACATTTGGGATTTACAAAGGAGAAGATGGAAAAATCCAGATCAACTCAAAAAAACAATTACTTATGCCCACAAATTGGACCAGAATTTGAACCGCATAACAAGTTCCATCCCTTTGACATGGGTCAGAGAATTGAGAAATGATGTAAAGTTTCAAAAAGTGATTTTGTTACAATTACACAAGATCCACAAGATTGGAAGGTTGGGCAAATCATGAGTTTACTTGAGGAAGGAGCTCTAGTAGCTTTATTCAAAATAACAACAAATCATCTACTCATTTTAATACCAGATAATCAGGTTGAGTTCTTTCCATTCAATGAAATGTTTAGAATCAGAGTTATTTTTATCTCAGCAACCACTGGATGGAGAGCCTTCCAGCCAAAATGCCCTATTACAGAATTACCTTTTGATCCAGACGAATGGGTATGGCAGACGGGTACAAGAAGTAAACCAAGTACTCTACAATCTCTAACAGTTAAGGCAGCATATCGTCTGCTTAGGCCTAGGGTAGATGTTACATCTATAATCAGGGACCGATGGTCCAAGCATTTGAACATAGACATACAAAGTATCAGAAATATAAAATTCTTTAATCAAATAAAAAAACGGTCTGCTAAGTTTTCATCTTTACAATGGCAAATAATTCATCGATGTCTTCCAACGAATGATTGGCTTATCAATCGTACCAATCTAGCGCAAAGAGGTCTGTTGCTTCCATGGTGTAAAGCATGTCTATCTGTTTTCCCCAACATGAAAATCAGAGAAATAATTGAGCATATATTCATCCAATGTCCCGGAACAGTATTATTATGGAGAAAATGGGACAGTGTGTGGAGAATACTGACAGGAATTGACTGACCATGGGGCTGGAAAGTCATACTATTAGGGCAATGGGAACCACAGGATATGCAACTATCAGAATTTCAAAGAAATCTATTCGAACTTGGTCGAAAAGTCATTCTATGGACATTATGGTACAAGAGGTGTGTGTATGAGAGACATGATGTAAAAATTGAAGGTATGGAATTTGTTGAACTAATTATTCAATTTGTACAGACAGAAATAACAGCACGTTGGTCAGAAGTATGATCAAAGATACAACAACTCCATCAAAAAAAGGATATAATCGAATGTATTCAAAAATTCAATCAAAATTGGCTGGGAGGGAATGAAGGAGGGTGTCTGGGAGAAGTGAAATGGTCGGGGAAGGAAGAACAGAGGGAAAATTTAAAACGGGACTTCCTCTTGAGCTTCAAAGACTGGTTTTCGCTTCCTCCAGGAACCACACTCAGATCTCCAGAATTTTTTCCTGATCCCTTCCCC